AAAATATACACACATCCATCATTGCCACCGGGCTTTGCAGGACATGTTCGTTTATTGTTTTTCCGTTATGTTTAAATAATATTGTGCTGGCCATTAAGCCTCGCATTTAAAAAATATAGGCATGTCCGTCACACCCACAGGGGCTGCTGGGGACATGCTTTTCCTCAAATAAAATAAATAAAATTTCTCCTAAAGATATGGTTGAATAACTCTAATCTATAGTAGGAAACAAATGTTTCCATTATTGTTTTCACTAATTGCCTTGTTAATTGAAAATATTTCGTGGAACTTTTCCACATTGTTTTCTCTTAAGTATTTATTATAATTAACTTTCCAAATAGTTTTAATTTCTCTTTTTATTACCTCTACAATTCTTGCGGAGGGTATTATTTTGTTTTCTTTAACTTTCATGTTTCTTGCCCACCATAACCTTGATGTTATTACGTGAGCAAGAGTTGTTGCTATTTTTGCGGTGTAGTCTTTGTTTGACATTTGATCTATGTTTGTCTGAAAGACTGCCCGAACAATGTTAAAGTTTTGTTGCGGAATTAGTTTTTGATAAATGTTTTTAAAAGCCTTCCACACCGATCTAGCTTTCTTGCAGTGGATAAATGGGTGAAGTGTGTTTTCAGTTGCTCCGCATGTTTTACAATTTGAATTCCCGCGCCCTCTGTTTTTTCTCCAACTCTGCATTTTTTCAAGAGTTGGGAGTGAGTTTGTAAGTACTCTCCAGAGGGTGTTTTTGTTGGGGCCGCTGGCATAGGATACAAAACTTCTTTCCCATATTTTTTTCCATGGAAGAGATTTTTGTAGTCTTGTATCCCATGTTGTTTGAATTTTCAACAAGTTTGGGTTTTCGTTGGCTCTAACTAGGTGTCCTCGTATGTTTTTAACGCTTTTTGTTTTTATTTTAAAGATTTTCTCATTTGTCTTAATAGCTTCAATGACATCTTTGTAATAAAATGGTATTTCGCCTATTGATTTTGGAAAGTTGTTTCTCGTGAGAAACAACCATTGCGGACAATTTATTCGCGCGTGTTTTGCAAGATGGTGCGCCAAATAATAATTTTGAATAAAACAAGACTCGTGTGAGTTTTCTTGTTCTTTTATATTGAAAATGTGTTTTGTTCGGAGGGCTAAGCATTGGTTTTTCGTGTCAAGAATGCCTAGTCCTCCGTTATTAACTGGTAAGTTTAAGATGTCGTTTTTGATGGGTTGCGCATATTCACTTTGCCAAAGGTACGCGGATATTTCTTTTTTAATTTTTTTCAAGGTGTTATCGTTAGTTGGAAAAACGTTAGCCACGAACCATACCTTAGAGAGTGCCAGAGTGTTCACAAAAACACCCTTGCATTTCAAAGATATGTTTCGGTATCGAAAACTTTTAATTTTTTTCTTGAAGCTCTCAACGGCTTTCTGCCAATTTACGCTAGCGGTAAAAGCTAAGTCAGTGTGAAAGGTTATCCCCAAGATTTTAATTCCTGAGGCGTTGCACCAGTTTATGTTAAAAGAATTTTGCTTTAACACTCTGGCCATGTTCTCATAATGAATGTGGTTGAACCCACCCAACGCCAGACCTTTGGTTTTGTTTTTATTAATATTTGATCCCGAGGCTTCCTCGAAGTCATCTAGCGTTTTGAAAACGCATTCGATGGACTTCGGGTTCCTCAGAAATATGGTGGTGTCATCAGCATATTGCATGACTTTTAGTTTATTTTTTGTTCCTGGTAAAGGAATGCCGTCTACATCAGGGTTGTTTCTGACGTCTAGTGCTAGCGATTCCACTGCCAGGCAGTATAGCATAAGGGAGATGGGGTCGCCTTGGCGAACGCCACTTTTTATACTGAAGGGCTTACCCATGTGCCCGTTGTTTATAATAATAGATTTAGAGTTTTTCATGGTTTGCATAATACCAGTTATAAAATTTTTGCCTAGGTTAAATTTTTCAAGGGTTTTATAAATAAAATTTCTATCTATTTTATCGAATGCTTTTTCCTGGTCGATTGTAATCAATACACATTCGATGTTTTTTTCATTAGTGTATTGTATCAAATCTCTGACCAGAAAAATATTCGAGTATATATTTCTTCCCGGTACCGAGCAAGTTTGCGACGGTCCGAGGATTTTATCTAGTACCTTTGACAATCTCAAGGCGAGGGCTTTAGTAATTATTTTGTAGTCCGCGCACAGCAGGGATATTGGACGCCAGTTTTGCAACGCTGTCAGGTCCCCCTCCTTGGGAAGGAGACTGATGAGCGCCGTTCTTTGCGACCATGACAGCTCTTTATTTACGTCAAAGACATTAGTGTTCATAAGATCGGTAAGTTCTTTTCCGTAAATATCCCAGCATTCTTGATAGAATTCTGCCGGGAGGCCGTCTATCCCTGGTGTTTTGCCTTTGCTTAGTGACATTGCGGCATTATAAAGCTCCTCGCTGCTGAAAGGGATGTTTAAAAACGCATTTTGTTCATCCGTGAGGGATGTTTTAATGTTTGCTAAAAATTTGTTTTGTTTTTCTTTGTTTAGAGTTTTTGCTTTGTACAAGTTTTTGTAGTATTTTCTAATTGTTTTTAATATTTTGACGGTGTCCGTGTGAAGGGTGTCACCGTCTTTTATTTCGTTAATAATTTTTTTCTTTTGGTTGTTTTTTTCCATTTGGAAAAGAGCCTTGGAAGGTTTCTCGCCCTCCTCTGCGAGGGTTTGTTTCGTTCTCACGAACACGCCCCCATCACAACGGAGTTCTTGAAGCTCTGATTTTAGGTCTTCAAGTTTTCCCAAGTCTCTCTCCTGTTTTTGATTTTCCTCGTCTATTTTTTGTTGTAAATTTATTTGTTTTAGTTTTAATTGTTGCTTTTTTGTTTTTGACGCCTCTATAGCAATCGACTTTATGCGGGATTTTGTAATATCCCACCATTGATTGCTATTAGAGTAATTAAGTTTGTTTGTTTTTTCTCTCTCAAAGTCGTTTTTAAGTTTTTCTTTGAAAATGCGGTCGCCTAAAAGGCTAATATTTAAATGCCAATAACCCGGGCCTCTCTCTTTTGTTTTCTCAAGTTTAAGAGTGCAGCCGAAGGCTTTATGGTCACTTATTTTGTTTTCTATTATTGCGCATTCACTATCTTTTGAGATTGTCAAAGGTACATAAATTCTGTCTATTCTACTTTTGAAACTGTTATCTGGTTTTTCATATGTAAATTCAGTTTTATTTGGGTTTTTATATCTATAAATATCAACCAACTCGAACTTTTGGCAAAAAAAATTCAAGTTGGCTTTACCTAAAGTATTATTTTTATTATGAAGATCCCCCCCTTCCCTGTCTAACTGAGGGTATTCAACCATATTAAAATCTCCCGTTAGGATCATATATTCTGATCCGCGCGCATATTTTCTTATTTGTTTATAAAAAGTTTCTTTTTGTTGTGGATCATTTGGTCCATATATATTAATTATTCTTAGATTAAAACTTTTAAAAGTAAATGAAGCTGCAAGAATTCTCCCACAGTCATCTTGAGTGACTTCTTTAAAAATAGTTTGTTCTTTCGTTAAAATGGAAACTCCACGCTCTCTATGGTTTCCATTATTCCATAGGGAGCTACCGTCGGTTTGATGTTTCCATTCATTTTTCCAGTTGTAATTATTTGCTTCGGTACTATGCGTTTCTTGTAAGCATATCACGTCATAGTCCGAGTATTTTAGAAATTGAAATATTTTTTTTCTTTTGGTCTCAGTTTGGAGACCATTCACATTTAAGGTGAGAATTCTTACATCCATTTTTAATGAGTAATTAGAATTAAAATTAGTTTGTTTGAAAATGCGCGTAATTGTTTCAATATATAAAGTTAAAAAATTATATAAACAAAATAAAAGGTATTTTACCGTTATTTTGTAGATCTTTTGATGTTCTTGCTTATACTGTTGGTTCGATCGGTTTTTCTCTTCTTTTTTTTAACTTTGGAATCGGAGGTTGGCTGATCATCTTCGATTGGGGAATCGTTATTTTCTTCTTCGTCGGTATCGCTCTTCATTTCGTTGTCGTCTCGCTTTTCGTTGGTCTGATGTTCTGTTGTGGTAGTGATGGCTTGGGTTATAACATCTTCAATTTGGTTAGTAGATTCATCTGTTGTATTCGTTTTTGGTTGTTTTGGGTTGTTTGTTTCGGATTCATGGTTTGATTCATTTTGACATTGGATGGGTAGAGAATGTGTAGTATGAGAGGTGTTTTCAGTTTCGGATGTTGTTGGTGGTATTTGCGGATTATCATCTGGTGTGGGCTTTGCGGTTTTTTCACTAGGAGTTTCGACAGATCTAGGTTGTACATTTGATGGTGGTTGTTGGCCATTGTGTTTGGTTCTGATATCATATCCCATAGCATTCAGGCTGACTGGCATTGGACCAGGCATGTTGTCCATAACCGCCACGAGGATACCGGTATAGTATTCTGTTCCGCTGATAGGCGTTTTCCTCATGACAGGTTTTGTGTAAACATGCCTGCCAAAGCCCATCTGTTCAAAAATAGTTCCGACCTGTAGGTTTTTATGCTCTATAGGGAGACCAAAAACAGAGACGTGAGTAACATCGCTCGGTTGTCTATCAGGATTAGATTGTTGAAAGACGTGATGAATTCCGCTCACATTGAGTCCCCTCTCTAACAAGAAGTTCTTCGCTGGATCGGACTTCATCACAATCTCCAAAAGGGTATTATTACGGATTAATTGGGCTCCTTCTAAATCACGTCCTAAGTTTACGGCCTCTAGTGCACTAATTACTTGATCAATATCAACTCGTTTACGTAGTCTCGATATTAAAGTTTTCGGTAGGTTTTTCTTATATACTCGTTGGGTTGTCACGTTTGCGTATGATTTTTTCAAAATTTTTGGCAGGGCTTCCGCGTCCTTTGTTTCTTGGGTCTTCTTCAGGTCCGTCTCGGCATCGGATTCGTCATCAGTGCTGTATGGAGATAATGTTGAAATGATCGAATTTCCATTTCCACTTGCGGCACATTGCATTATATCAACGAGATTTACGGCGGTCTCTTTGATGTTTGAGATCATATCGTAAAATCCAGTAAATACACCAAAACTCCTAAATAATCACTAAATAAAATACTTTATCACTTTTTAAATCGCTGTCTCGGCTTAAAATCAAGAACAGATACTACACTTGATCTTAGCCATTAGGCCGAGAAGCGATAACTGACCACTGCAGACATAGTCGGACAGACGCCGTCTTCAACAATGCACTTGTGGTTTGCATTAGTACGTCAAATCATTTTTGTCGTCGTCATCATCAGCAGCATCATCATCAGCAGCAGCTGAGACCATCGGCGATGTTAGACACTCTAAATGTCAAAAAATTTCAATTATTTTCATTCTGGGCCGCGCTCAGCAGTAGTGCAAAGCCGAGGCAACCCGTGGTCAGGGCAAGGTAAACCTATGATCCCATGACCTAATGCCAAAAATCAGATTAATATATGAGCCGGACTGTGCCGGCGTACCAGATATTAAACTGATAAGAACAGATACTACACTTGATCTTAGCCATTAGGCCGAGAAGCGATAACTGACCACTGCAGACATAGTCGGACAGACGCCGTCTTCAACAATGCACTTGTGGTTTGCATTAGTACGTCAAATCATTTTTGTCGTCGTCATCATCAGCAGCATCATCATCAGCAGCAGCTGAGACCATCGGCGATGTTAGACACTCTAAATGTCAAAAAATTTCAATTATTTTCATTCTGGGCCGCGCTCAGCAGTAGTGCAAAGCCGAGGCAACCCGTGGTCAGGGCAAGGTAAACCTATGATCCCATGACCTAATGCCAAAAATCAGATTAATATATGAGCCGGACTGTGCCGGCGTACCAGATATTAAACTGATAAGAACAGATACTTTTTTTTTTTTTTTTTTTTTTTATTTTTTTTTTTTTTTTTTTTACCAGCCAACTAGGGACACCTGCTGCTGAAACCAGACTTACACAGGGTCTTACTAGAAGGCCGGTGTTATTAGGGAGCCGAAACTCCGCATTTTGGCCCACTTAAGGGTTTTTAGTATGGCCCATTTAAGGGTTTAGTTGCCACTCAGCCGAAACTGAGCAGCGCCCACTTAAGGGTTTATCTCCATTTAACGTCCGGAGTGGACGGATCGCTTTGAAATTTCCGGACGTTGAAGGAGACACTGAAAAAGCGACAACGCCAAGAACCTCTATCGACTGTCACGGTTTCGATCTGGTGATGTTTCTGTTTTCTAACAGCACCGTAACCAATTGAGAGATGGTCCGGAGCCGAAATAAGAACAGATACTACACTTGATCTTAGCCATTAGGCCGAGAAGCGATAACTGACCACTGCAGACATAGTCGGACAGACGCCGTCTTCAACAATGCACTTGTGGTTTGCATTAGTACGTCAAATCATTTTTGTCGTCGTCATCATCAGCAGCATCATCATCAGCAGCAGCTGAGACCATCGGCGATGTTAGACACTCTAAATGTCAAAAAATTTCAATTATTTTCATTCTGGGCCGCGCTCAGCAGTAGTGCAAAGCCGAGGCAACCCGTGGTCAGGGCAAGGTAAACCTATGATCCCATGACCTAATGCCAAAAATCAGATTAATATATGAGCCGGACTGTGCCGGCGTACCAGATATTAAACTGATAAGAACAGATACTTTTTTTTTTTTTTTTTTTTTTTTTTTTTTTTTTTTTTTTTTTTTTTTAAACTTTTTTTAGTATTTTAAAGAAATGGTATTTTCTTAGAAGGAGAATTCAAGACTTTCTGCATTGTTTTTACTTATTGCATTGTTTAATGAAAAGATGGAGTGATATTTGTCTAGATTTTGTGTTTTTTTATACATGTTGTATTGTATATTCCAAATATATTTTATTTCTTTTTTAACATTTTCAATTACTTTTTTTGTTGAGACTTCTTCATTTTCTTTTAGCCGTTTATTCCTAGCCCTCCAAAGTTCTGTTGTAATTATATTGGTAAGGGTAGTTACAAGTTTTGCTTTTTCATCTTTTTTTTTGTGATCTTTTATGTTAATTGAAAAGATAGCGTGAATTATATTGAAGTTTAAATTAGGAATGATTTTTTCGAATGTTAATTTAAAAGCATTCCATACTGGTCTTGCTTTTTTACAGAAGACAAAAGGGTGCAGAGTTGTTTCCGTAAATCTGCATGATTTGCATATAGCGTTTCCCTTTCCTCGATACTTTCTCCATTTTTGTAGTTTCTCAGATGTTGGGAGACTGTCATGAAGCAGTCTCCATACCGTGTTTTGACTTGGGCCTTGTGCATACGAATGAAAGCACCTCATCCATATCTTGTCCCAAGGAAGGCTTTTTTGGAACATTTTTTCCCACATCAGTTGTATTTTTAATGTGTTTTGACTAGAGTCTTTTTTGGAGAGATGGTAGTATATATTTTTTGCGGTCTTTTGTTTTAAAGCGCATAACTCCTCGTTTTCTCTAAGTATTTTAATAATATCCTGAAAATAAAAAGGAGGGGGATTTAAGGTTTTAGGAAAGTTGTTTTTATTTAAAAACTTCCATTGCTCATACTTCTGATGTGCTTGTCGATTTAGATGTGAAGCAAGGAAGTATCTCTGTAATAGAAGTGACTCATGTGGTTTTTCGATTTCTTTTATGTTAAAAAGGTGTTTCAAACGTAATGCTAGACCTTGTTTTATTGGGTCTAGAATTCCAAGACCGCCTTTATCGATCGGCAGGTTGAGTATTTCCCTCTTAATGGGCTCTGCATATTCACTTTGCCACAGGTACTTCGAAATTTCTTTTTTTATTTTTTTTTCTATTATACAATTTATTGGAAATATGTTTGCGAGGAACCATACTTTAGATAGGGCAAGAGTATTTAGAAACATTCCCTTACACTTTATCGATACATTTCTGTATTTAAAGAAATGGAACCTCTCTTTTAGCTTTGTTATACATTTGTTCCAGTTTGTCAATGCGGTAAATGAAAGATCAGTAAAGAAAGTTACTCCTAAAATTTTTAATCCACTTATATTGGACCATATAATTTGATTTTCATTGTTGTTTTCATAGTTAAGGTAGTTGTAGCCACCCAAAGCCATAGCCTTGGTTTTATCTTTATTGATGTTTGATCCGGTAGCATATTTAAATTTGTCTAAAATATTGAAAAGCTCAGTTAAAGACGACAGGCTCTTAATAAAAATGGTTGTGTCGTCTGCGTATTGCATTACCTTTAAAGGGGTGTTGGATCCTGGTAATGCAAAACCTTCTATTTTTTTGTTGTTCTTGATTTCAAGAGCTAAAGTTTCGACAGCCACGCAGTACAGCATCAAAGAAATGGGATCTCCCTGTCGCACTCCTCTTTGTACTTCAAAAGGTTCACCTAAATAACCGTTGTTAAGAATCATTGATTGGTTGTTTGTCAATAAGGTCTTAATGGCTTGAATAAAATTGTTGCCAAGATTAAATTTTTCAAGCGTTTTAACGAGGAATTTTCTGTCTAATTTATCGAAGGCTTTCTCCTGATCTATGGACACTATAAAACCTTCCAAACCCTTAAAGTTTGTATATTCTATAATGTCCCTAGTCAAGAAAATATTTGAGAAGATGTTTCTATCTGGAACCGAGCACGTTTGCGATGGTTCCAGGATTTTATTTAGTACTTTAGACAATCTGATTGCTAGAGCCTTTGTAATGATCTTGTAATCCGCACAAAGGAGTGAAATCGGTCTCCAATTTTTGATTAGAGTTAAATCTCCATCCTTTGGAATAAGACTTATAATTGCAGTTCTTTGTGACCATGTCATCTCTCCGTTTTCATGAAAAAGGTTTTTATTAACGACATCAGTAAAGGTTTTTCCATATATGTGCCAAAGTTTTTGAAAAAATTCGACTGGTATTCCATCGATACCAGGTGTTTTGCCACTCTTTAAGGTATTTGCTGCATTTAACAGTTCTTCACTTGTAAAGGGGCTATTTAGGCAATATATATCATCGTTTTCAAGTGAGGTTTTAATATTATTTAGAAAAGGTGTTTGTAGGTGTTCGCTTGTTTGTTCTTTTTTATATAAGTCTTTGTAAAAATTTCTGATTGCTTTATGTATATTTAGTGTGTCGGTATACAAGACATCGTTTTCTTTTATTTCTGCTATAGTTTTCTTTTTCTTATTAGTTTTTTCTAGCTGAAATAGAAACTTTGAAGGAGTTTCTCCTTTCTCGATAATGGTTTGTCTTGTTCTAACAAAGACGCCATTGTCTATATTTAAAATCTTTATATTTTTCTTTATATTTTTTATCTTTTCCAAATCTGGATTTGGTTTTAAACTTTCTCTAGTGAGTTCTTCTAGCATAGAATTGGTCATACAGGCTTTTTCCTTTTTAATTTCTTTTGATCTTCTTATTGCGATTTCTTTTATTTGCACTTTTACTAAATCCCACCATTGATTACAGTCTGGAAACTCTTTGAGTTTCTCATTGTTTTCTTTAAAGTTACTCTCTAGAAGTTCAGTGAATTTAAAGTCTTCTAGTAAACTAGTGTTTAGGTGCCAGTAGCCTAGACCTCGTTTGTGATGCATTTTTTTAAAACAAAAGTTTCCTATAACAGCTCGGTGATCACTTAACATTGTATCGGCTATCTTACAATTGTATTCTATTGTTGATTGAATTTGTGTGTAAATTCTATCAATTCTGCTTCTATACAATTTATCTGATTTTTCAAAAGTAAACCCAGATAAGAACAGATACTACACTTGATCTTAGCCATTAGGCCGAGAAGCGATAACTGACCACTGCAGACATAGTCGGACAGACGCCGTCTTCAACAATGCACTTGTGGTTTGCATTAGTACGTCAAATCATTTTTGTCGTCGTCATCATCAGCAGCATCATCATCAGCAGCAGCTGAGACCATCGGCGATGTTAGACACTCTAAATGTCAAAAAATTTCAATTATTTTCATTCTGGGCCGCGCTCAGCAGTAGTGCAAAGCCGAGGCAACCCGTGGTCAGGGCAAGGTAAACCTATGATCCCGTGACCTAATGCCAAAAATCAGATTAATATATGAGCCGGACTGTGCCGGCGTACCAGATATTAAACTGATAAGAACAGATACTACACTTGATCTTAGCCATTAGGCCGAGAAGCGATAACTGACCACTGCAGACATAGTCGGACAGACGCCGTCTTCAACAATGCACTTGTGGTTTGCATTAGTACGTCAAATCATTTTTGTCGTCGTCATCATCAGCAGCATCATCATCAGCAGCAGCTGAGACCATCGGCGATGTTAGACACTCTAAATGTCAAAAAATTTCAATTATTTTCATTCTGGGCCGCGCTCAGCAGTAGTGCAAAGCCGAGGCAACCCGTGGTCAGGGCAAGGTAAACCTATGATCCCATGACCTAATGCCAAAAATCAGATTAATATATGAGCCGGACTGTGCCGGCGTACCAGATATTAAACTGATAAGAACAGATACTTTTTTTTTTTTTTTTTTTTTTTTTTTTTTTATATTATATTATTTTTTATTTAGTTTTTATTTGGATTTTAAAACAGTTATAAATTTTTAGTTTTGTTTTACGGTATTTATAAATTTTTGTAGGTTTTATATTTTTTTTATTTTTTTTGGTTATTTTGATAAACTCAGAAGAGTTTTAAATTGCGCTTGTCGCTTTAGTTTTTGTTTTTTTTTGTTTTATATAATTGTTTTTTTAAAAAGCGTTCCACTTGCTTTGTTTCATGATCCTTATGAAATTGTTCATGTTCCTTTCTACGTTGCTCCCATTCTGCTTTTTTACAAGCTATATATCTTCTTTCTTCTTTGTTGCTTGTTGTTCCCCTTTTAAAATCTTTAAATTCTTTCATATTATATGAATACATCTCTCCCGAATCCATCTTTTCAAATGTGAGTGGTGTAAGTTGTCCTTTACTTTTTTGTATATTTTCAAGCTTTTGATAGCTTTTTTGGGCCATTTCGTACTGGATCCATTCATATTTTTTAAAAGCTTTAAATTTTTTAAGTTCCTCATCACTACAATTTAAACGATCGAAATTTTTAAATAATTTCCAATTATAATCTACTTTTTCTAAATGGAACATATCAATATATTCCTCAGGTACTTCAACGTCGTCTTCTTCACTAATTTCTTCATCATTATCATCACTATCGTCGTTACTATCTCCACTATTATTGTCATCTTCACTATTATTGTCATTACTATCTTTATTGATATTGTCATCCAAAACATCTTTATTACTATCGTTTCCCTTACTTCCGTCTACACCATTATCGCTATTGTTAGTATTACTATCTTCTTCTTCACTATTAGTTGTTATTTCTCTTTCATTTACAATTAATATTTCTTGACTTGTTTTTGGTCGAGGTTTGGTAGTTATATCGACTGTTTGATTTTCTACTTCCTCGACATGTTTGTTTAACTCTGGTTCTCCACAGTTTTCCTGTGATGTTATAATACCGTTAAGACTTTGTATTTCTTTAATTGAATGGCCTACTTCTTTTTCACTTATTGTTTCGTTGGCGTTCTCGTTACCCATTTTCTGACTTGTTATATTTTGTTTTTGTGGGCGGCCAACATCTTTTTGGCCGTTGTAGATGGCCCTAACTTCATATCCGTTGAGGTTGATAAATCTAGGGATTTGTTTTTCCAAGTTGTCCATGATCGCAACTATGATACCGGAGTAATAAAGCGTTTTGTTTTTTGGTGTTCTTTTGAATATAGGTTTTGTTCTAATATGCTTTCCGTACCCTAGCTCCTCTAAATATTTTCCTACCGGAAAGTTGCTTTTTTCTATTGGTAGCCCAAGAATGGAGATCGTTACTTTTTTGCTAAAATTTCTACTTGGTGTTGATTGGTAAAATTGGTGAGTTACACCGTTGATGTTAAGTCCTTTTTCAAGTATTGAATATTTGGCTTTGTCATTTTTCATGACAATCTCAATGATTGAACCGTTACGAATTTGTTGGAAGCCGTATAAGTGTTTATCGTATCCGGCTTCTTCGATGGCTGATAAGATCTCGTTATCGTTAAATTTGCCATTTACTTTACATAGAATGGTATTCTTAAGAGCACTGAACTCATTTGTATTAAGGTTATTTGTTGCAGCTTGTGCATATGTTTTACTTGTAGCATGTACGTAGCTACTGGTATTGGCTGCACCAGCCATAGTGTCAGTATCTATTCCCATGGATGTTTTTGGTTTATTTAGTAGCATGGTAAATAGTACTAAGCGTATATTATATACTCGCAGACACTCAGAGGCCAGTAGACCTCAAATAGAGGTCTAACCAACCTCTTAAAACTCACAGTCACTCTAATAATCTCACTAAGGTTTACAACCTTTATAGCCTCTCGGTCACTCAATACTCACTAAAAGCCAGTAGACTTTTTTAATATGAACGCTCACCTTAGCAACCCGTGGAAGGGGCAAGGTATCTCTTATACAAACACTCTCAAGGCCAGTAGACCTTGTATATACACTTTAGGACCACTAGCTCGTCCAAATGAACTAAAATCAAGAACAGATACTACACTTGATCTTAGCCATTAGGCCGAGAAGCGATCACTGACCACTGCAGACATAGTCGGACAGACGCCGTCTTCAACAATGCACTTGTGGTTTGCATTAGTACGTCAAATCATTTTTGTCGTCGTCATCATCAGCAGCATCATCATCAGCAGCAGCTGAGACCATCGGCGATGTTAGACACTCTAAATGTCAAAAAATTTCAATTATTTTCATTCTGGGCCGCGCTCAGCAGTAGTGCAAAGCCGAGGCAACCCGTGGTCAGGGCAAGGTAAACCTATGATCCCATGACCTAATGCCAAAAATCAGATTAATATATGAGCCGGACTGTGCCGGCGTACCAGATATTAAACTGATAAGAACAGATACTTTTTTTTTTTTTTTTTTTTTTTTTTTTTTTTTTTTTTTTTTTTTTTTTTTTTTTGTTTTGTTAATTTTATTTATTATATGTTTCATAAGATAAGAACAGATACTTTTTTTTTTTTTTTTTTATTTTTTTTTTTTAAATTTTTATTTTGTTTTAATAATTTTATCTTTTTGTTTGGTTTTGTTAATTGAAAATTTTATTAATGTTAATAGATTTATAGATTTTTAAGATTTTTATTGTTGTTGTATAAGTTTGATATAGTTTTAAAGTAATTTTAAATAATGGTCGATATTAGTTTTATAATTGTGGTGATAATTTTCGTTTTTTTGTTATTTGATATCTTTGCTTTTTAAGGTTACGTTGTTCCTTTTTTGTTTCATGGTCTAGAATAAACTGAGAGTGTTCCTTTCCACGTTGTTTCCATTCGGATATTTTTAAAACGTAATATATTGTTTTTTCGGATATATCCGCAGTTTTCATGTCAAAGTTTTTCAATTCTCTCATATTGAATCCATACATTTCCCCTGAGTCCATTTCTTCGTATTTATCTGGTAGTAATCTACCAACTTGTTTTTCCCATATGTCTAGTTTATCATAAACCTTAACTCTTGCTATTTCAAATTGTTGCCATTCTAGTTTTTTATACTTTTTGAATTTATTTAGTTCTTCTTTAGTGCAATTAAGCCTATCGAAGTTTTTAAATTGTTTCCAGTTATATTCAATTTTTTCAATATGTGACATTTTTAAGAAATCTTCAGCGATCTCTACATCATCTAGACTATCTTCTTTACTAAAAACATTTTCCTCAATTTCCTTTTCAATTTCGTTACTCTTATCTATTTTCCTTACATTACTGATCACCTCATCATCATCGCCTTTATTTTCTTCATCGTCTTTATCATTTAGTTTATTTTCGTCACTTTTACTCTCATCGCCCTCATCCTCATCGTTATTTTCTTCGTAGTTATCTTCGCCTTCTCCCTCTTCTATACCTCTAATAACAACCTCACTCGTACTCCCTTTACTGTAATCTTCGTTGTTATCATTATTTTCGTTTTCTTTTGCTTTGAAGTCGTTTGTATGTTCATCTTTCGTTGAAAGTTGGATTATTTTTGATGTTTCTTCTAAGGACTCATCTAAGGTTAAATCATTATGTGTTTGTGCTTTATTGTTAGCTTTAGTAATTTTTGTTGTTGCATTATTTTGGGCTTTAGAACCTATGTCTTCTTGTCCGGTATAAATCGCTCTCACATCATATCCTTTTAGGTTAATAAGTCTAGGAACAGGTTTTACTAATCCTTCCATAGTAGTTACTATAATCCCTGAGTAGTATAGTGTTTTCTTCTTAGGTGTTTCTTTAAAAATAGGTCTAGTCGTTAGATGTTTCCCGTATCCTAGCTCCTCTAGTATTTTTCCGGCCGGGAAACTACTTTTTTCAATTGGCAAACCTAGTATAGAGATAGTAACTCGTTTACTAATGTTTCTACTTGGAGTGGAGTTATAGAAACGTTGCCTTACACCGTTGATTATTAAACCTTTGTCAAGAAGCGTTTCCATGGCTTCTTTGGACTTCATGACAACTTCAATAATAGTGCCATATCGGATTTGTTGAAATCCGTATAAGTATTTGTCATATCCAGCATCTTCAATTGCTGATAGAATTTCAAAGTCACTATATTTAGTGGATGGTTTGCATAAGATAGTATTTTTTAGTGAAGTATATTCATTTATTGGGTTTTTAATGTTAACATCATGTGTATAGATTTTACTAACAGCATGTGCATAGCTTTTATTAGGCGCTTTAATAGCGGTTGTTTTAGTATCTATTTCCATAGTTTAGTTGGTTTTATAGTAAAGTGTTATAATACTTAACGTATATAATAAACTCTCTATACATGCGGTCACTCTGAGGCCAGTAGACCTCTAAAAGAGGTCTAACCAACCTCTTTATACTCACAATCACTCTTGATTAACACACTGAGGTCTACGACCTCTATAGCCTCTCAGTCACTCGTACACACTAAAAGCCAGTAGACTTTTACACTCTCTCCTTGACAACCCGTGGACGGGGCAAGGTAAGCTTACAGAATCTCTCAGAAGGCCAGTAGACCTTCTTTTATACACGTTAGGATCTCTAGCTCGTCCAAATGGACTAAAATCAAGAACAGATACTACACTTGATCTTAGCCATTAGGCCGAGAAGCGATAACTGACCACTGCAGACATAGTCGGACAGACGCCGTCTTCAACAATGCACTTGTGGTTTGCATTAGTACGTCAAATCATTTTTGTCGTCGTCATCATCAGCAGCATCATCATCAGCAGCAGCTGAGACCATCGGCGATGTTAGACACTCTAAATGTCAAAAAATTTCAATTATTTTCATTCTGGGCCGCGCTCAGCAGTAGTGCAAAGCCGAGGCAACCCGTGGTCAGGGCAAGGTAAACCTATGATCCCATGACCTAATGCCAAAAATCAGATTAATATATGAGCCGGACTGTGCCGGCGTACCAGATATTAAACTGATAAGAACAGATACTTTTTTTTTTTTTTTTTTTTTTTTTTTTTTTTACCAGCCAACTAGGGACACCTGCTGCTGAAACCAGACTTACACAGGGTCTTACTAGAAGGCCGGTGTTATTAAGGAGCCGAAACTCCATATTATGGCCCATTTAAGGCTTTATAGTATGGCCCATTTAAGGGTTTAGTTGCCACTCAGCCGAAACTGAGCAGCGCCCACTTAAGGGTTTATCTCCATTTAACGTCCGGAGTGGACGGATCGCTTTGAAATTTCCGGACGTTGAAGGAGACACTGAAAAAGCGACAACGCCAAGAACCTCTATCGACTGTCACGGTTTCGATCTTGTGCTGTTTCTGTTTTCTAACAACACCGTAACCAATTGAGAGATGGTCCGGAGCCGAAATAAGAACAGATACTACACTTGATCTTAGCCATTAGGCCGAGAAGCGATAACTGACCACTGCAGACATAGTCGGACAGACGCCGTCTTCAACAATGCACTTGTGGTTTGCATTAGTACGTCAAATCATTTTTGTCGTCGTCATCATCAGCAGCATCATCATCAGCAGCAGCTGAGACCATCGGCGATGTTAGACACTCTAAATGTCAAAAAATTTCAATTATTTTCATTCTGGGCCGCGCTCAGCAGTAGTGCAAAGCCGAGGCAACCCGTGGTCAGGGCAAGGTAAACCTATGATCCCATGACCTAATGCCAAAAATCAGATTAATATATGAGCCGGACTGTGCCGGCGTACCAGATATTAAACTGATAAGAACAGATACTTTTTTTTTTTTTTTTTTTTCCCATCAACTAGAGTAGCCTGAAGCTGATGCCAGGCTTACACAGGGCCCCAGAAGAAGGGTTTGTTTATGTTTTTTCAAGAAGCCTAAGCTCCTTGTTTTGCTTATTTAAGGGTTTTGATTATAGCTGTCTAGCCGAAACTAGTAAGCTTTATTTTAAAGAAGTTTTTAAAGTTATTTATTCTGTTTTTAGCATAATTTTATAATTTTTATTTGATTTTAATAAGTTTTATAATTTTTTTGATATTTTTTAGTTTTATATTTTTGTTTTATTTTATTAATTTGAGGTTTATTTTATAGGTCAAAAATGGTCTAATACCATTCGTTTCGGTTATTTCTGATGTTTTTCTGCTTTTCTTCTCTTTTTCGATGAGCCTCATCGATTACTTTTTGCCTTGCAAGTTTTTCTTCCTCCTGTGCTTTTTCATAAGCTTGCCGTCTTTCAATTCTTCCTTTTTCGTATTCGGCTCTCCGATACCGAACGTATATTTTTAATTCCTCTTCGGTGCAATTATTTTTATTGAAGCCGTCAAATAGGTTTTGATTGTAACACCATATTTCGTTTGAAGTCATATTTTCAAATTCGATTGGGAGTTTAACTCCAGAAACATCAATTACTTTTCGTTCACGTTCTGATGTTGTGATAGGTTTGTTTTCTACGCTACAGTTTTGTGTCATTTGTTCATTTTGTGTTACTTCAGCTGGTTTATTTATTATTTGCTTCGTTTCCACTTTATTGTTAGTTTCTGATGAGGGGATTTCAGAGTTGCTTGTTATATTTGTTATAATTGGCGTTAGTTTTAGTTTTTTGCTACTTGTTGGTGGAAAATCTTCCTCTAATTCATCTAGACTGTCTTTTTTTCTAAAAACGTCTTTCTCACTCTCTTTTTCAGTTTCATTACTTTTATCTATATTCTTTACTATACTGACAACGTCAACGTCTTCACTTTCTATATCATCGTTTTCTTCGTTTTCTTTTGGTTTACTTTCGTCACTTGTACTTTCATCGCTATATACCTCACTGCTACTTTCATCATAATTCTCTTCGCTTTCTTCAGCCTCCTTATGCTCAACCTTAGCTTCACTCCTACTATCTTTACTGAAATCTTCAATATTTTTATTTTTTTCGTTTTCTTTATCCTCGATTTCCATTATAAGTTCATCGTTCGTATGATCTTGGATTAGTTCTGATGTTACTTCTAAAGCTGGAATACTAGGTGTTTGGACTTTATTATTAAGGCTAATATTGGTATTATTATTGCCAACTAATGGTAAAACCAAAGTTGCATCACTAGTTGGATCGCTAGTACAGTTAATAACTTTATCTTGATTTGTTTTACTTTCTTTCTTTTGGTTTCCATCATCTTTCTGTCCGGTGTAGATAGCCCTAACTTCATAGCCTTTAAGGTTAATAAATCTAGGGATTGGTTTAGTTAGGTTGTCCATTACTACAACTATTATGCCCGAGTAAAAGAGCGTTTTGTTTTTCGGTGTTCGTTTTAGCATAGGTTTAGTCCTAATATGTTTGCCGTACCCTAGTTCCTCCAAGACCTTACCGGCAGGAAAGTTACACTTCTCTATTGGCAGTCCTAGGATGGATATCGTTACCCTTTTGCTAATGTTTCTACTAGGGGTTGATTGGTAAAATTGGTGTAATTCACCATTTATATTAATTCCTTTGTCAAGGATTGTGTGCTTGACTTTGTCATTTGTCATAACAAGTTCAATAAAAGAGCCGTTACGAATTTGTTGAAAACCATAAAGATATTTATCGTACCCAGCATCTTCAATAGCTGATAAGATCTCTATATCGCTAAGTTTCGTAGTTACTTTACTTAAAAGCGTATTTTTAAGCAAACTATACTCGTCTGTGGTATTATTAGTTGTTGCAGTATGTGTGTCGATTTTACTTGCAACTTGTGCATAGGTTTTAGCTACGGCTGTACCAGCCGCGTTTGTAGTATCTATTTCCATGGTTGTATTAGGATCTACTCGTAGCATGGTGAATAGTACTACTAGTATAATAAAACTCTCAGTCACTCTAGAGGCCAGTAGACCCCTAAAAGAGGTCTAACCAACCTCTTTATACTCACAATCACTCTATTAGCACACTGAGATCTACGATCTCTATAACCTCTCAGTCACTCAATATTCACTAAAAGCCAGTAGACTTTTATAACACTCAACCTTGCAACCCGTGGAAGAAGCAAGGTAAAACTCACAAAACTCACAGAAGGCCAGTAGACCTTCTTTTATACTAGTTAGGATCTCTAGCTCGTCCAAATGGACTAAAATCAAGAACAGATACTACACTTGATCTTAGCCATTAGGCCGAGAAGCGATAACTGACCACTGCAGACATAGTCGGACAGACGCCGTCTTCAACAATGCACTTGTGGTTTGCATTAGTACGTCAAATCATTTTTGTCGTCGTCATCATCAGCAGCATCATCATCAGCAGCAGCTGAGACCATCGGCGATGTTAGACACTCTAAATGTCAAAAAATTTTAATTATTTTCATTCTGGGCCGCGCTCAGCAGTAGTGCAAAGCCGAGGCAACCCGTGGTCAGGGCAAGGTAAACCTATGATCCCATGACCTAATGCCAAAAATCAGATTAATATATGAGCCGGACTGTGCCGGCGTACCAGATATTAAACTGATAAGAACAGATACTACACTTGATCTTAGCCATTAGGCCGAGAAGCGATAACTGATCACTGCAGACATAGTCGGACAGACGCCGTCTTCAACAATGCACTTGTGGTTTGCATTAGTACGTCAAATCATTTTTGTCGTCGTCATCATCAGCAGCATCATCATCAGCAGCAGCTGAGACCATCGGCGATGTTAGACACTCTAAATGTCAAAAAATTTCAATTATTTTCATTCTGGGCCGCGCTCAGCAGTAGTGCAAAGCCGAGGCAACCCGTGGTCAGGGCAAGGTAAACCTATGATCCCATGACCTAATGCCAAAAATCAGATTAATATATGAGCCGGACTGTGCCGGCGTACCAGATATTAAACTGATAAGAACAGATACTTTTTTTTTTTTTTTTTTTTTTTTTTTTTTTTTTTTTTTTTTTTAAATTTTTTATTTTGTTTTGTTGATTTTATATTTTTGTTTAATTTTAATTTTTAATAGTTTGTAGAAGTTTTTATATCTAATAACAAGATCAGATAATAGTTTTTTTATGTTTAAATTATTTCTGTTGGACAATTATTTATCTTTGTTAGTTTTGCATAACTTTTAAGTTTTTGGATGTTGATTGTTATTTGGTTTTCTTTTTAGATACGTTTGTCTCTTAGCAATACGTTCGTCTTGCTTTCTTTCATGTTCACGGTCAAGTACAGCATATTCCCTTCTTCGTTGATCCCACTCAAATTTTCTGCATGCGGTGTATCTGATTTTTTCTTCATAGTAAGCAGTATCTTTATTGTAGTTTTTAAATAATCTTGTGTTATAGGCATACATTTCTCCTGAATCCATTCCCTTAAAATCGAGTGTATATATGGACCTCAATGCTTGCCTTTCAATTTTGTGGTATTTATTTTTCTCTGATTCATATTGGTCCCACTCGAGTTTTTTAAAAGCTTTAAATTTATTTAATTCATCTTTACTGCAGTTAAGCCTATCAAAGGTTTTAAAGAGTTTCCAATTATAGTCAACTTTTTCTATGTGGGTTAGTTGGTAGAATTCTTCTGGTATATTTACTGTATTATTCATGTCATTTTCTGCAAAACCATTTTTTTTAACTTCGTTAGCCGTATTTTCACTATAAATTACGTCATCCTCATTTTTGTTATAGGTGTTTTTATCGGTTTTATCAGGCTCATTTTTATTGCCGTCGTTTTCCTTTTCGATTTCTTCAAATTCATTCTCTTCGCTTTTACTTTCGTCACTCTCGTTTTCGTCGCTATCGTATTCTTCACTGTTAGTTTCGTCATAAC